GTTTGTGATGAAAGTGCCCTCTGCAGCAGTGTCGATCCCTCCCTCGAGCACTACCGCGTCTTCCACAACGGGTGACAGATAACAACAATTTCCCGCCCCCCTTTCCTTGAGGTTGCCAAGGAGTTGAGGTACATGGACTGGAACTGGTGTGTTATTATCCATGGCACCGCTGTGATGTTGCGAGTCTTGCAGTTGAGATGCTTGGTGAACAAGTCAATCACTTGGGAAGAATCGCAGAATGGCTGCTTTCTGTTTGGTTTATGGAGTTCGTGACATCATGAGTGACATCATGAAAGCTCCAATGGCATCAAAGGACTTCTCTGCAGTGGGTGGGGCTTCTGTTGCTAGGCAACGGCACTATCCTCAATGGCTTCAACTAAACACTGATATCATTCAATAAATAAGTATTTATTTATATTTATTTTGCATTAAAATATAACATACTTTGTACAACTTTTTTGTTTAAAACAAAAAAAAAAAAAAAAGAGAGAAAGAAATATTATTTTTCGGGACACAGACGCGCTTTAGCCGCCAAACAAATATTAGAAACACTTTTTACGCACTGTGATCTCGCGAGCAGGCACGCGCGTATGTGATATCGCGGTTTTTTCTTCCTTTTTCATCAACGTCAGTGAGCGGCGTAGTAGCGGTTTTAGCACGATGGCCCAACGACAAGGACAGCTCGATCTGAGGGACTTTGGATTTAAGAGGGAAAAAAGTGACATTTTAGGTAAGTCAAAAGTCATGAAAATCAGTCATTACGCTCCATAAACCAACCATTCTGTCACCAAATGGGTAATCTCTGGACGTAGTGACAGCAACACAGCTAATGATGCTAGGTTGCTAATGATGCTAGGTTGCTAACGACGCTAGCGGTTACCGGCTGACTCGGGTTTGGCTTCTCAGTGGGGTTTAGTTTTGCTTTTATCAGTCTGGGCTGAGCACGATAACGTTTGTCTGGGATTCTCCAGGCTATATAAACACACACAGAATTCAACATTAACGCCATTTATCATAGTGAAAGGAGAAGTCAGACACTGTAGTCACAAGAGTCAAATCAGAACGTACAGGCTGTAATGAACATTACTAGTATGAGCTTAACTTGAAACAGTCTCTCAAAACCTTGTGCCTGCTTTGGGTGCAAATCTAAATTTATAATAATCTTTATTTGGCCAATGCTGTTTTCTTACACATGTTGATGAAACGGAACCAGCAGTGCCAGAAGAGCTAAAACCCTCCTTAAAGCTGTGAACACACTGCTCATCTCCACAGCTGAGTGTGAGCGCGGCTTCAGTCACATAAACATTTTAACCACAACTAGAAGCTCCCTAGAAGTAAAAAGCACGTCAGCCTTGCTTTTCATCAAGTGTGTTGGCCCTCCATTGAAAGTGTTCAAACCAGATGTCTATGTCAGGTCCAGCTAATGATCCAAAAGCAAGAGCCCGGAAAATTTACTACAAAAAACATGATTATGAAAATCTTTGGAAACTTCTGTGATTTAGGGGAGAACTGGGTCGGCAGCTGTTGGAAAAAAAAAACTGATTAGTTATCCATTTTACTTTTCCTGTTTTGTCTTTTGAGGCTAGCCACCTCAAGTTTAAAAAAATCTCAGGTGCTGGTGTATTTTTGTAAATTTTTGATATTAATTTTCAAATTTTGTAAATTGTTTCAACTAGTTCATTCAGTTTTTTTGCATTTGAATTCAAATGAACTTGACCTGACTTGAGAGGATTCAGAGTTTCATTTGCCGTTTTTGTGAGGTTTTGTTTCACACTTGGGTGGATGAATTACCAAATGATCTCAAAGTACCATGAGTGCAATTTAACTCAGTAAGAAAAGTGGTCCTCTGCATTTACTTCTTAATGCGTAGGAGCAGTGATAGCCATGCCAGCCTGGGAACTGACTCCAATTCTGAGGTATGTTGGTCAAGATCAATTACAGGAGAATCTGACATAACATCCATGCCATATATGTTGTTTTAGGATAGTAAAATAATTGTCTTTGAGCTTTAACAAAAATAAAAAGGCTACACAGTTAGTTTCATATCATATGCACTGTCGTCAGGGCAAAATATCCATCCCAAAAAATAAAATCCACCATCCCCCCTGAAATTTTTTTTTACAACTCGACTACTGAGTAGGACTGTTGATATGTAGCTAACTAGCATAGCTGGATAGTTAGCATGCGATAGATTTACTCTGTCTCTTTACCCCGTCCTGTGCATGAGCATTATAATCTCGATTGTGCACAGGACATGAAGAAATACTGCTGGGTGGATCGGTCCGAACCACTTTGTTTCCCATGAACAGAGTCATGGCTGTGTGCAAAAACCGGATTTTATTTGTACTAAACTGACAGCTTAGTGGGCTGTGAGGAGACAGTCATTGATTTAGACCCAAAGTGTATCAGAGTGAATCACATACTGCACCTTTAACAGTCTTGAAGTGCAAAAGTACAGTCTGGAGTCAGTTAAAGTGTAAATTGTGAGTAAAATGTGGCCTGTATTTACAGCTGGACTATTTAAAAAAAACAAACAAAAAAAAAACAACAAAAACAAAAATGTTACATGGATAAAACACACTTTTTTGTAGACATTCTGTAAGAATATGCCAACAAGCTTACAAATAATCACCATTAAGAAGTGTGTTGCTGGTGAGTAACACTGATTCTGGAAATGTGACCATAACCCACAAAATCAGTTCATGAGTAAAGATGGTTTATCGTTGTCGCTGAGTAATGCAGCCATTTCCCACAGCTCTTTATAGTTCAGAGTAACAGAGAAATGCATGTCAAATCATTCTCCTGTCACATGATCACACACTGTAGACGTTTGCAGCAGCAGACATCTGCATGACTCTTTGTGCAAAAACATGCATACGCTCCTGTAAACTTTCTAAACTAAAAGCCGGTGCTGCTTTCAACATTTCAGTCATCCTAAGATACATTTACAACCATTTGTGACTCTTATACTGATTTAGTAAGCCTCCATTGATTACTGTGAATCAGCTGTTGGCCAACAGTAGTCGAGCACATCTAACGTGAGCTACACGACTACATGATAATGCTGTGAACCTTGATAACCACATCGATTTTCCATCCATCCATCCATCCATCTACCTTCCGCTTATCTGGGGTCAGGTAGCGGGGGCAGTAGGCGGAGCAGGTCATTCCAGACATCCCTCCCCTCGACATTTTGAACTTTCCAGCTCTTCCTGGGGGATCCCGAGGCGTTCCCAGGCCAGCCGAGAGATATGATCCCTCGAGTGTGTTCTGGGTCTGCCCCGAGGTCTCCTCCCAGGTGAACGTGTTCGGAAGACCTCCAGAGGAAGCCTTTCTGGAGGCATCTGAATCAGGTGTCCATACCACCTCAATTGGCTCCTTTTGACGCGAAGGAGCAGCAGCTATACTCTGAACTCCCTCCGGATGTCCGAGCTCCTCACCCTATCTCTAAAGCTGAGCCCGGCCACCCTTCGGAGAAAGCTCATTTCAGCCGCTTGTATTCGCGATCTCGTTCTTTCGGTCACGACCCAAGCTCGTGACCTTAGGTAAGGGTTGGGACGTAGATGGACTGGTAAATCGAGAGCTTCGCCTTGCGGCTCAGCTCTGAGCCACATCGATTTTTATGTAAAAAAGATCCCAACAGTCATATTTTAATTATAGAAATCTTTAGAAATACTCCTTTTTTGTTTTTTTTAAACATCAATCATTGCTATGACATTTTTGCTACAGATTACATAAAGTTTTTTAAAATTTTTTTTTTATTTTAAAGAATCATGACCACCATAGTCGAATACTTTGCTCCTACTGACAAATCTGTAACAATCTGATGTCTTGCAAACCCACAAACTGGACACCACAAGTCTACAAACACCATATATACATGCAGCTGTTGTTTTGGTGAAATTTCTGTAATGCACAAATCACAAAGGCAGACTTTCAATCACTAGAAGATTCATTATGCTGGTCAGTGAGGCCCCAGCCCTTAAACGAACAGCTGGTCGCTGGCACCGACATGGCCGAGTACGTGGAGTGACACAGTTTAGCTTAACAAGGGTTATTTGGACTGAAACGGACAGAAAGACTGAGCAAACCGTGCCAGGAAATGAGAATGGATAATGGTGTTAATATGGAGGAGAGGAGAGGAAAACATGAGGAAGAATTGCCTTTTAAAAATAAATTGCTGCTCCTGGATGATGAAGAGAACCAACATCAAGTTTGTGGTAGAACTCTGATGCCTTTTGAGAACTGACCTGCATTTTGACATATTAAAGAACCGAATATTAAATAGTAGAAGCAGGCGTAGTTTGTATGGGCTGAAAATTTAGAAACGATTATAAAAGTAGTGTTTATGTGCTGCCAACTGTTTATAGATGCTGCAAAATGGTATATTATCTTGTGTTTGATTATAATCATTGTTCATGATGGGGTTATTTGCTGTTTTGGTAGAACGCCCTATTTCACCCTCGTTTTATCAAAATGGTGGCCAGTTTCTGCTTGTAGCTGATCCCTTAGTCGCTGATGTTGTGCTTATAACTTCTGGAGCAACAATTTTGGAAAGCCATCTTTCTTTTGTGGTGGAAATGCAAAGAACTGGTTCTAGATTGTTCACCAGCACCATTTTAATGGAAAAAGGAAATCAGTAGAGTTGGTAGATAACAATAGCAGCGATGCCTTAAGATGTCCTCGTACAGGTTTTGTAATTAGACCAGAACGTTACACCCATCAGGCTGGTGGTGTTGATGCAATCTGCTGGTGCTAAATTGTGAGAATAGGTAAAGAAACCACCATAAGTGGAATTCTAGATCGGTTGGGGTCAAGAGGAGAACCTTAGAACCAGCTGTCACAGTACTGATGCCAAACTGGTTTTTGCACTGATTTTAACATTTTGGAAAGTAGGCTACCTAGATTTGATAAATAATCCAAAATAATACTTGATTTCAGTTTTGTTGTAATGAAAATTCACCTGTTTTTATACTTTGTGTTCTGTTTGTGTGTCACAGGAGTACCTGAGCCTGTATCCTTTAGATAAAATGACTCTGGCTCCAGACCCCGATGTCCCAAAACAGCTCCCACCTGTCGCCTACAACCCCTGGGTGGATGTCAGGATGAGAGAGGATGTCCAGAAGCTGAACCTCAGCTTCCCTTATGGACCGATTCCTAAAGAGTTCCAGGTTTGAACCGGCTGCTCTCAACATTTTTAAACCTCTGTTAAGTTTTTTCTCACCTTTGTACTTCATGCAGCAAGTCGTAAAACGATGGTGTTGTGCGTCGTGTCTTCCAGCTGCGTATCCGTCAGCACTACTACGCTGCTGTGTCTTATATGGACGCTCAGGTCGGGCGGCTGCTCAGCGCTCTGGACGAGCTGCAGCTGACCAACAGCACTGTGGTGGTGTTCAGCTCTGATCACGGTAAGTAGACTGCTGCTTTGGATGGATTTTATTAACCCTCAGAACCACATGCAGTTTCTGGGTGTTTTTTTTTTTTTTTTTGGTTCCTGTCACATTTCTACTCACTGTCAGCTCATGTTTCACTGCAATGTAAAGTCCTGGAAGTAGAGAGAACTCATGTCTTTTATGCCAGTGATAATAATACCATAAGAGCTTCAAAGAAAGAAAATGAAAATGGAATTTCTTTGATTATTTAGTTCTACAAAATCTGAAAAACGAAAGAGTGGATTTAAGACATGCACTCTTTTATTAAGAATTATTAGACCACCATGTTTTCTTCAATTTCTCGTTCATTTTAACGCCTGGCACCACTAAAGGTATATCACCTGAAGAATACAATGTACACGACAAAAAATGCAGCTGATTACGTCATACTTTGTCATATTTGATATGCTTAAGCTTAATTCTATTCCCAGGGTATACAAGAGACCATTTCATGTCATAAGCAGCACTGCACATGCGAAGGCCTGGAGTGGTTTCCTGCTTACAGTCAAGCCGTACCACAACTCAGAAGTTGTCGGCTCTCACATAATGCCACAAAGGCGGCCATCTTGGCACTGCTGGAAATTGGCATGAGTGAGAGACAGGTAGCGAAAAAACTGAAGATCTCCAAGACCGATGGAAGAAAACAAGGGTGGTCTTATCATTTTTTTTCCATGACTATATATTCCACATTCATGTCAACACGGCCTGCAGTTCATCTGAGGCGTCCCAAAATTTTCGTCATGTGACTGTTGGTCGAGTCAGTCATGGTTTCAGGGTTGTGCCAAAGAGAGCAGAATTTCACAATTTTAAGAAGTGATGCACGATTTTAAAATTTCTGGCCGATACCGACATCTGATATTAAGATTTCTGATATCACCGATAACCAATGTTACCGATGTCGATAATCAATTTTTGTTCACACCGAAAAATGAGTCAAAGTAAGCACTGTGAGAAACTATTCAAAAGAAGCCCAAATTAGACCACACAGTCTTCTTTATTACCTAACAAAAGTAAAACACATTTTTCATCGAACGTTCAAGTCCAGGACCATTGAAGAAAAGAAAACATCTGAAAAACATCTGCAGCAATATCACACGTAGAGACGAAGGCGCTGATGTTGGACAATCATCGTTTTTTCACATCGGCTACATTTGTTCATCGGACTGATACCGATATATGGAAAAAAAGCCACTAATATCGTCCGATACTGATATAGCGGAAAAAACACTAATATCGGCCGATACCGATATGGTCACCAACATATCGTGCGTCGCTAATTTTAAGATGATATTTGGTTATTTTTCTCGAGGAACAGAATGTCACAGATGATAAGTTTAAGGACAGTGGGAAAATCTGGCAATCTGGCTTTTGGTTTTCATCATCAGTTTCTGGCTCTGATAAATGCTGGACAAATGTTGTCTCTGGAGGTTTATGATTTCACCTTTTTGTTTTTATGAAAGATATCACTTTTAATCTTTCTGGAATGATTTTGGGGTTCAGAGGGTTAAGCTGCTGTTACTCTGATCATTTCCCATCAAACCCTGACATGTCTGTTGAGAGTATTTAGTAGAATAAACAGAGACAATATCAGTCGTCTGGTTGTCAGTGCACATTGTTTAGAAAGTGATCTGTTTACTGAGCTTCATAAGTGTCTTTGCTGTCCTCGTCTTGAACACCAGATGGCAGTGTTGTAACAGCAAACTGTGCCCTCACCTCTTTCCACAACTTCCACATACTCCCTAAAACCCCATCTTTTTCTCTGCACCACCACCTCCTTTTTTTTTTTTTTTTTTTTTAAACTTTGTGACTTGGAAACCTAGTTTTCTTGTATTGTTTCTGTCAGTGTAGGATGCTCATTGTTTAATACATCACCCAGTAAAGCTCAGTCAGACGCAGTGATTTTTGAATACAACATGATTGAGAAGAACATCGGTGAGGTGGATTGCGTCACATGTACCCCCACTATTTAACCATTTTTATATGATAAAGATCAATTTATTTTCATTTCTCCTGTTTGCCTCAGTGTTTTTGAACTAGCATCTTTCATGTCTGTTTTCTCTTCCGCTGCAGGTTGGTCGTTAGGTGAACACGGCGAATGGGCTAAATACTCCAACTTTGATGTGGCGACGCGTGTCCCTCTGATGTTCTTCGTTCCCGGTGTCACATCGAACCGTAATGGGCTGAAAATGTCCACCTTCCCCTTTATTGATGTCCTTAGGCAGCCGGAGCGCAGCTTCAATAGTAAGGCCTCGGCTGACAACAAATTAGTCCGTATTGATAACATGAAATGTACATTTATTTTCCTCCATTTAAAGCTACGCTGCATGTAAAGTCATGAAAGGGAAGTCAAGTTCGATTACATTTTTTTATTTTTTTTTTTGCTCCTAATTGGTCTCATAAACCTTGTTGAAACATTTATTAATATGCCAACTTGACTTTAATGAAGTCTTTGATATACACGGAGAGCTGCAAAAGTATTTAGACAGGGATACACTTTGATATTTTGCCTCCGGACAGTTTTTTACTTCAGACACAAGTGGTGCAATGATGATGAAATTTAAGTGCAGGACATTTAGTAAATTTTAGTGGATATCTGGACTGCTCTGCTCCTGGTGGCTGGTTAAAACTCTGCATGTGGTTGACTCCTCTCTCTCTCTCTCTCTTAGATGACAGAGTAACAAGAAACATGGCGGAGCTGGTTGACATATTTCCTACCCTCTCCCACCTGGCTGGTCTCAAAACACCTGGACGCTGCCCTGATGTTTCCTTCCAGGTATGAAGACATGAAAACAAATGCCCTGATTTATCCTCTGACATGTGGTTGACATTTGTAGTTTTTAAATATTTCAACTTTTGGATGGATTGACATGAAATCCAGGGAACACTCACAGAGCTGTAGTTGACTGAAACTGTCCTTTTGCTGCAGCGAATCAATTGGTAACATTCATTAGCTTAAACGAATCATAATTATAAATAGAAAGCGATTATTTGCAGCATTTTAAATAATTGTTTTAACCTCATTATTTCATTTGACACTTGAGCTGAATGAGCCTCATAAAGCTCTTCGTCACTGTGCTTCTTTGTTAGCTAGACGTCCAGAATACACTCTTGCTTTCCAACACAGGAAGTACAGCGCATTGGATCGACTGACTGGATCAGGAGCCTTTAGTGCACGAATGAACGACTAGATGAATATATCGAGTCCATGATGTTGGATATTTCAAAATAAATGCCCTCAAGGTGTCACTGAGATGTCGCGGAGAACAGAACTAGCTGTCACCAACACAAAGGCTTAGTGAAATGTAAATTAAATCTAATGTTTATCATGACATTTATTTGCACTTTTCGTTTTTGGACAATCTGTTAAATTTGATTTCCATAATAGTGCATGAGTCTGCCGTCTAGTAGAGTCCAACTGATGCTGGGTTCTTGTGGCTGACCTCAGGGGTTCCAGTGTGGATGTGTCGGCCAATATTCTTTATATAAATGTTCGAGTTGTACTGAAAAGGGAAAATAATGAAGTTGTTAACTCTCCAATAGTGTATTTCACAGTTTAGTTAGCAGCTTACTGTGAAAACAGCGTTGGGAATAATGTTGAAGCTGCTCTGCTGGCTAAACTACACGATGGCACCATTAACAAATTAGCGTCTTTTTCTGCATCTTGTCTGTTAAGAAAAGTTTTTCTTGGTGTGGCTGAAGGCACCACTGTAACCTGCTTATTTTAGTCTGTTGTTTACTTGACCCACTTCAGATCACTCCTCTTCACATCCCATCAGAACAGAACTGGTGTTTTCTGTGCTGCCGTCAGAGTTCAGATGTCACTGCATGAACGTGGCGGCCAAACACAATAAATCAAGAAGGGAGCGCTGCTTAAACAGGCTCAAACCGTCCTGACACCGGTGCGAACAAACACACTCTGACGTGTGTTTCCTTTTACTCCATGGCCTGTTTTCTTGCTTTCAGACGGAGCTGTGCACAGAAGGACAGAACCGAGCTCACAGCTTTCGACAGCGAGAAGGAAGGCGCGATGAAGAGCTCGTGTCTTTCAGCCAGTACCCTCGACCTGCTGACGCGCCGCAGGTAGTGTCTTTAAGAAAGCAAATTAAAAAAAGCAAATGAGCTGGTTGAAGGTTAAGACTTTGGAGTTGTGTATCGATCTGGAGGTAGTACAGACAGACTGATTGTGAATTTACATTTAAAAGTTTGTGATTAGAGGTCAGTGCTCTTTCTTGCTTGTACACCTTCAGTAACATGATCTTTAAAATGAAAATATCCAGATGAGCGGTGCACCTGCTGTGGGTTAATCTCCGGATGCTTGATATTGGCTCTCAGCTGCAGGATTTCTCCACTTTTAACTTGCTTGTTGTTCTAAATTCTTCCTTTTAGCTGAACTCTGACCTCCCCAACCTCGAAGACATCAAGATCATGGGCTACTCCTTGCGCAACTGGGACTACAGATACACTCTGTGGCTGGGCTTCAACCCCAAAACATTCCAGGTATCTCCTACCAGCACATCACGACGCTCGTCTTTCTCTTATCTGCTCCTGTCTATTATTCCCCTCTGTGTGAATGTATTAAGTTCAGTCTGGGGAGTTGAGCGTGATGGATCCATCCATCTTGTCTCACACAATATGTCGGAGACGTTTTCCGTGACAGAAACAGATTATATTTGTCTGTATCATCCATCTGTCTCTCCATCCAGGTGAACGTATCCGACGTGCACGGGGGAGAGCTGTACATGTTGGAGGACGACCCCGGCCAGGACAACAACGTCTACAACAGCATCTTCAGCGACTCCAATCACAGTGTGGTTATGAGGAAGATGGCCAGCCTTCCTCCCGTAAGTATGAATTCATTTCAGAAAAACATGCCCGTTTCCCATCATGCATTCATTTACTTGTTTACTGACTCGCTGTTTGGCGTCCAGACGGTGAGTCTGCAGATGAGAATGAAGCTGCAGTTATGCTACCTCACAGCAGGGATGAAGACGAGCGGAGGGAAGGCGTGATGACGAGAATGAAACACAACAGATGGACAGATGGGGACAAAGGGAAGATGGATGGATGAAAAGGAAAACGGCTCGGGTGCTGTTTTTACTGTAATTCATACACAGTTCGGTGTTATGTTGTATCCATATCAAGTGTTTTCGCTTCGTTCTTCAGGCTCATGTTCCGTAAGAACGCGTTGTCGGGCAGATTTGGGTTCAACACATCAGGAAAGGGAATAAGAAATGTGTTGTGTGTTTTGTTAGAAAACACATCATCCTGTGGAGTTCACACTTAGCAGAGAGGTGAAGTGTTAATTCTGGTTAAAAAGGAAACATCCATGAGAGCAGCAACTTGTGATTTATTTATTTTCTTTTTGCTAAACACAACTTCCACCTTATGTGGCAGAAGAGCAATTCCAGTTTTAGCGGTGGACACATTTCTGATTCAGTAGTTAAAGAAACGGCTTGTGATTTTTTTTTTTTGCTTTATTCGAGATGGTTTGATAAAGATCTCTAGCACATTAATATCTCTCGACTAAATATGACGCTGGAGCCGGCAGGTAATTAGAGTTACTTAACCTGAAATGTGAAAGCAGGAGGAACAGGCTAGCCCGACCTGATCAGAGATCTTAATTGCAGCACTTTAAAACTGACTTAACTGATTTTTCTCTCTTTTGGTTTAATCTGTACACAAAGAAATATAAACATGACGAATTTAATGACATGGAAAGTGCAGTGACAAGTGTAAAAACTGGAGGCAGACAAGTACTTTAACCTCTTGGAGGAACTAGACCAGTATTTATGTTAACTTGAGCTGATCTTAAATCAGCTTGTAATAAACATACCGACATGAAAGTTGTCAGGATCGTCTAAACTCTCCAAAAAATTCCGTTCCTATAAAACTAAACTGCAACTCACTTCCATTCTGAGTTAAATATATTTCCCAGGTTGCTTTTGTTTGTTGATGTATCACAAGTGGATTTTAAATCAGAATATCTTTGCGATTTGTTGTGTTGCTTCGCGCCTTTCCAGCCCACCGTCTTATGTTATCTACCCAGAAAATGAAGGAGAAGCTTCAAAAATGACGTCATATTTTAATCCAAACCGTGATATAGATGCTCTAAAGCTAACCAGGTAGTTTTGGTGCCTAAACTTAACCGAACAGTGAGTGAAACCCAAAACTAAATGAGTGAAAAATGGAGAAACTTGTTTCTAAGAGTAATGATTCCACGCTGAACCCTGGTTTTCTGGATGAAAATCCTGTTGCCGTCTAATACTTCACCCTTCCACCGTGGGGCCTTTTGTGGACTTTGTGGCTCTTACGTCACAGGGTTACGTTTAATAGGATGAATATTTCTTTTAAAACCGAATTAGAATTTTAGTTTAGTTGTAATTTTTGGGAGACTGTTGCCAAAATAGTGAACTGTTCCTTTAACGTCACACAGAGCAGCTGAACCAGGTTTTTCTGACCACTGCATCAGGAATCACAGAGGAACCGTTCTAACTGTACTCACTCCTACATGATCACATCGTTCTCCTGCTGAACCTGAAGGACGGAGCCTTTCAGTGGAACCAGGTTCTCTCCAGTTGACTGTCCAGTCTCTTCTTTAGGGAACCTTTCGGGTGTCGTCTTTCTCGTCTAGCTACAACATCCGATGGGGAACTTCCATCATTTTGTACTGTAGCGTTACACAACGTGGCATTTCTATTTGCACTAGCAGCTGTTTGCCCGCCTTCCTGTCAACAGTCGCTTCAGATCAGACCTGAAATGAAGTGAGTGAAAACCTCCCATAACGATTCGATGCAAATGAAACGACGCGGCCACGTTTTTACTGCTGTTCTGATGCGTGAACATTTTGTGCTGCGGTAATTTAGAAAAAAAAAAAAAAAAAGAAGCAATTTTCAGCTTGAATTTCTGGTCCAACAATGAAGTGAAGGGATTTGGTCTGTCGGCTTTTATTGCCGGCTGCACTGGCTTCATGTTAATGGGACACAAATGAATCATGTTTCATCAGCGGGCTTCTATCACACGCCTGGATGTTGGAGGAAGGTGGGAATGAATCGGCTCATTTTACCGTGTTTCCTTTTGTGCTGTAATACGTTTAACATGTCGTGAATGGCGGGTTTAATCAGCGCAGACACTGGCTGTTTGGAAAAAAAAAAAAAAAGAGCTTATCCTTGAGTTTAGTTGCATCAGAGCATCATGAAAATTCAAGCTTTCTTAAGGGGAAAATAAATATTGCAGAAATAATTCAAATCTCAGGCTTGGCAAGGACACACTGTTAATATATTTATGTCTGTTTCGATTGGTTTGTTTAAAAATGAAATAATAAAATGTGTTTGTCGAGCAGCAGAAGTTGACTCATGATCACGGACCCTGTTTGTGTCTGTATTCCTGAGTGAGTCCTGCAGAAACACTTTGCCGGCCGTCCACACGCCCCGCCGCTCCCTTCTAATGCATTTTGTGTTCACCCACAGCAGAGGTGTAAAGCTGCCGAGCAGCGAGGGAGCTCCTCGGGGAGCTCGCCACTCTATTCTGTGTTTTCTCCACTTCCTCTCCTCTATCTGTTTCTCTCCTCTGGAGTAGAAAATGCATGAGTCTTCTCTCCAGCGCTGGAAGAATTCGGCCCGAACCGAACATTTGCTAATTTGTGCATGATTCCACAGAGCCGATCTGTCCGGGCGACACAAACGGTTAAAAGCCTTGTAATTGCATTTTTTTGAAATATAGTATGAATTCAGCCTCACGCCTTTTGAGTTTTTTGCCGTTTTCAATTTCCAAGCAATCATGCAGAACCATTTGTAGAGCTCTGCTTGAAGTGAAGTCTGCATGCTGCCAATGAAAAGTCAAAAAATTTCCCAAAGACCAGGGCAGCACTTCACATCTCTCCCCTACCAATTTCACCTCTTCTAATCATTTCTTCTCCTCTTTTCATTCAGTCTTACCTCCTTCTTGGCCTTTGAACACGACCGCATTCAGCTTTGCTTTGTACATGCATTTTTAAAAAATCTATTTGTAACTGAATCAGAGCGCTGGATCGTTGACCTGATACTTAAAGACGCACCGTAAGAAAGAAGCATTTTATTTATCGGCTTAAATGTGCAATAACGGACTTTTCTCTGCTACCGAGGGGCAGCATAAACAAGCTTGACACTGACTATTATGACACATAAAGGTAGCCATGAGCTTCTGAGAACCAGCAGTGTTATTGAGAAATTATTTTTTAACCGGGTGTCTGGTTTGTTTAAATCATGCACAAAAACGAGACTCAGACCTGCTTCTTGTTTTGCTCTTTCTGCAGATCAACCGTTAGCAGTAGTAATGCAGCAATATGCAAACAAAGGCACACATAATGCTAGCGATTAGATGTAAATGCAAGTTTGTTAAGTCTCGGTAATGGACACACTGAAATTTGGGGAGAAAAGCTAAATGTACGGAGGACCTTTGTCGATAGGAAAGCAAACGTTTGGCCATTTACCTGAGTCTCTGGGTCCAAACCCTCCATCACATCTGAGAACCTGTAAACCTTTTCACAATCTCTTGCCTTTTTCATGAGTCACCACTGAGAGTAAAAGGTTTGATTATTAGATGACGTCCCTCTGCAGGAACTCATGGCAGGCCCGAGGTGGTGCGAACATTTACAGTAACAGCCCTTTTAGCCTTTGTGTTTCCATTGAAATGTAGGATCTGACAACTTTGACCACGACATGCGCCAAAGCAACGACAAATAGTAGCTACTGGATGTAACTCCAGTTTTACAAGCACATAGAAAATGAAACCGTGGAGGGTTTATGTTCGCCTGTGTTGGAGACGGCTACTAGACAAGGACATTTGTTAGCTAGATAACGACACTTGTTTTCCTCTAAATTTATGCAACTGACGTTGACGACCTACACGACAGTTGCTCAGAAAAACCAACCCTGCAGCAAGTACTTTTATTTCCTACAAAAATGGCCCCAAAAGAAGTTCTGCAGGGATTTTTCTTGGGGTAGGAACAGGTGTGAAGGTCCAGGGCTGCCCTCAAACAGTCCACAGATTTATGCAATTGAAAACGCTCTTGGAGTTGTTTCTTGGTTGGTGGTTCGATCCCCCCACCCCTCTACAGTTGAAGTGTCCTTGGGCAAGACACTTGAACCCGAAGTTGCTCCCAATGGCAGGCAGCACCTCGCATGGCAGCTCTGTTGCCATTGGTGTGTGAGAAACACATTGTAAAGCGCTTTGAGTATCACTAAAGTAGAATAGTGCTGTATAAGTGCAGACCATTTACCATTCCTCCAGGTGGTAGAGTCCATCCAGGCATCTATGGAAAAGAGGATTCATGAGGTTGAAGTCGCTTAGCAGTAATGTTTGCTGGTGGACACATAAAGATGAGATGTTCTGGCTGAAGTATTAAAAAACAAAATACAAAATGCACAGGACTGTGTAAGCGATTATGAAACACCAAATGGCATCAGCCAGGTTATGGAAGTGAGTGAAGCTTGACAAGTAAACATAAAGATCTGCCACCTTAGTACTGGTAGGTCAGCATAGACCTCGACTATGACTTTGATATTTGCAGCAGTGAAAACGTCTTTTATAAGCACTGCGAGGATGAAATTGTTTTCAGTCGGCTATAGGAGCATATTGAGGGTCAGTGAGTGAAACACTATGAGAGTCCACATTTCCAGAGAGAAAATCACCTGGCAGCCTTGTTGATTTGGTTGGAGGAAAAAAAAATGTGTCTCGCATCGACCTGGAATGTTTTTATCACAAAGAAAATGGTAGAGTGACAACTGAATATTGTTTTGGACTCACATCTATTCAGACAACAAGTGAAACGGCACTGCAGCATGTTGGAAAGAAAAGAGAACCAGAAACAGTGCGTCCAGCAGTAATGGATTAACGCTGGCATTCGTCTAGAATTGCTTTTCAGGTCACCCAGTGAATGTTAGTCCAATATCTACTGTTATTCTTTGAACTTTGTTTTGGTCTCCACCACCTACTGATGGAATATCTGTCTCTTTTGTTAGCTGAGAAGTGTCTCCGTGCAATACAACTCTTATTTGTCATGAGGAGTCAACCAAAACAAAGTTGCATTCTGGGAAAAAGTAAAGACGCTAAAACCTCTGTAGGGAGGAGTGGAGTGATAGTTTCCTGAAGGTTTGTCACTAAAATTTGCACTTTTCACTTACCGTAAATTCCGGACTATAAGCCGCTATTTATTTCACACGCTGCGGCTTAAGCAACGGTGCGGCTAATTTATGGATTTTTACGAATTTGCCTCGAGACAAAAGTGACATTGAGAGCGACGATGAAAGAGAGACTGAGGAAGTGTGTGATGAAGTAATTCTGAGGCTGTTCAACTCCGACTTTAGTGGTTTTGGTGCAGGAGGAAGATGAAGATAGCGATCAATGACTTTTCCTGGTAGGCTACTGTAGTTTTTAAATTTCTTAACCAGCTGTGTTACAGGCACTGTTCAAAAAAATGCATTTGTGGTATTTTTGTATGTTACCGGTACGTATCTAATTAAAAGTTTAAAAAAATCTTTCTGTGTAAATGTCTCATGTTACAACGTGGACACCTGCGGCTTATAGACAAGCGCGGCCTATACAATTACAAATTTGTTTTCTTTTTACACTTAGTGGGCGTGGCTTATATCCAGGTGTGCTCAGTAGTCTGGAAATTGCGGCAGTCATTTATTAGCTTGAAGCAAAATAGCCCAGTCGTGTTTGATATTTCACGCGGCACGTTGTGCGTTGGTGCCTTGCCCATCGGCGCCTCAGCAGCCCCCACCTGAGTTTCAATGCTCATATTTTGAAAGTGGAGATAAATTGTGAGTCAGAGCAGCTGCAGCCGCTCTCCACTCTGCCAGTATTCATGTCAGCTCATATTTCTGCCTCGGTGGTTTTATCAGATCAATATTTATCATCACAAGCACTGATCTCTGACCACAATCAAATTGATCTAATGGCAATTACATTACTGTTTACCTGCTGCCGTTTTGTTTTTTTTTCCCTCTCGCTGCCTCGGCTGCTGCCCTCTTTTGTTTCGCTCCGTCTTACCTGCTCCTTCCTTCTCTCCCATCCACTCCGTCTTTGTCTCACTCTCATCGTCTATCATTATGTTTCATACACTGGTAATCGCATTACCGCTATGGGCTCATATTCTGGCAGGTCACACCGCCTTTCTGTTAACGGTGGCGACATACACAATTACATTAGAGAGAGAGGCCGAGCGTGTGCGTAGAAAGCGCTTAGCTCAGCTGCATTAAGACCAGAGTTCGTCTCAAGGGTGTGTGCGTGTGTTTGCTGTGTGTGAATGAACGCACGGATAGTAAACAAACCGTACTGTACTCGGCCTCCCAAGGACTTGATGAAGTGGACTTGAAGAGCACTTTGTCAGACGAGCTGTTTCTCAGCAGAACTGCAGGCTAGTTAGCTAATTAGCTGCTCAGCTGCAGCACATTAAACAGCATGTAAACCAGGCTGCAATGTCACTTTGTTAGATGCTGGTGTGGTAACGGTTCAATACTGCTGCTAACAACACACTGTCTGCCCGTGATGTGTGGAGGACCGCCACAAAGTTGGTTTACTTTGACTGGGTTCCTGCAGTGTGTAGCGCTGGAAGTCTGCCAGCTGCTGTCGATCAAACTTAGAAAAAGGAGCTTTGGGGTTCAGGAGCTTTGTTCACTTGAGCAGGACTTTAATAGTAACTTCACCAGCTGCAACCTCAATAACACAAAGAGAGAAAAATCTAAAGGAGCTCATCAGATGAACCAGATATTACGTACATTGTTCTTCTCAGTCAAAACCAGGCTTACCCACAGTGCAACTCCATCATTGAATACGCAAACTGTATTTATTGGATGGATGTAGCCTCAGAGTCTGAAAATGAAACCAGAGTGAGAGTGCCTTAAACTTGCCTTCTTTCTAATAGCCAGCAGGGGGCGACTTCTCTGGCTCCTCTGGCTGCCAAAAAGAAGTCAGATTGTGTAGAAGTCAGTTGATTTGTTACCTGAATAAACATTTTCCAAATTAGTTTATGGTCTCAAGTGGTAGTTTCAAGACTTCTTAAGTACAGCTTAATGTTCATTTTGTAAATTATTGTCTCATTTAAAGTAAAGTAGACAATAAAGCAGGGTACGTTTAGGGCGGGGCTACCTTGTGATTGACAGGTCGCTGTGTGTTTTGTCCTTGAGTTCTCCATAGTTCTCAGTAGCCAAATGTCAAACTTACAGTCTGTAGTCGGCAAACCACTGGATGATGTCACTGTGGCTACGTCCATCTTTTATATACAACCTACGCCAAATATTTAGTCAGAGAATCTAGTGTGTTATGCCAGTAAAACCTAAAACCCTC